CGATAGAAAGATCTCATGCATAAAGAACAACAGACTAACGGTTTCTATCGTATTCTACGTTCTAACCGTTCTTATACTTACGCTGGTTATACAGGCCAACGGCTTGGGACACGTATTAACAAAAACAAGTTAGCCATCCGCCGACATGATCCTCTCTCACTCCTGTTCGCGCACGCCCTTGAGTGTTACCACCGCTTCAATTAGGACGGAACTGAATTGGTTGCTTGGCCAACATCAAACAAACGCGTGAATTCCTCGAGGACTGGCACTCGAGCGCAACCAGCATTAACCGTTACGTAGATTTGGATGCACATTACAAAGGGATGCGCACTCAGTTCACTGACTCACGCTGACGACCTTCTAATCACTTCTAATGCCACTACTACTACTTCTACTGATACTACTACTACTACTACTACTACTACTACTACCACCAATAGTACCATTATTATATGCTGGACCACTTTGAATATTACTGTCTTGCCACTCCTACCCAGAACACAACGAAAGATGGTTGAAAACCCGCAACACGCTAACCTATACTGGGCCACGTTAAATAGTACTGACTCACCACCTCCAACCCGAACACAGCGACTGTTTAAAAGCTTAAACAGTAAAAGTAGTCCATTCTGTAATTGGCGAAACTAAAACGGGTCAAGATTTGTAGGCGCGCAAACTTTCTGGTAAATCCGGTTACGGTTTTGGGAGGCGAATAATTTTTGGCTAAAGGAATGCTGGACAGATTCTATTTTATTCCGTTCAGTAACATGCAGATGGCTTAATAAAAACGAATAGTATTTCAGACTTGGCCTAAAATAAATTATATGAAGACTGGTTCTAATATTGATAGTTTTAAAATTTTCGAGGACACATTTGGTAGTTCGGCGTGCTTTTGAGACAATCAAGGCATAATGCTCTGACAGATTAAGACTCTTGGAATAATATTTTCCCCCTTAATAACGTCGGAAAAATGTAGGTCGTGGTCGTGTATGCTTTTTCAGGGCTGATGATCGTCGCAAACAACCATAACAGAGCATTTGTGCCAAGAAAGGGAAAGGCGCCATCGACCGCACCACTGAACGAAGGTCTTCAGATCCTTTTTGATGAGTTCGAGCACAATGTCGCGATCTATTGGTTCATATAGATAACCAACTTTCAAACCATCGGCGTACATAAAGGGTCTGCTATTCTGAAATAAATCGGGACCGTCATAGACAAAAATGCAAGGTAAGAGAGGACCAAGCATGCTACTTTGAGTAACTCCCTCCCTACACGTGTGGGGATGGATAGAACATTCGAAATTTTAACTCATTTTTTCGAGCGCCCAAGTAGGAGGATATTTAAATTCGGAAGTTCGTTATCTAAGTCTTTAGGAGAAAGCTTCAGGTGGAGGAGATCATGATAAACATGATCAAAAGCCTTAGTGATATCGAAATAGACTGTGTAGAGTGCAAAACCATTGTCCCCAGATTGTAGCACACGATCAAAAAATGGAGCTGGCGGGTATCACAAGATCTTTTCGAGCAACCCATGCTAAACCGCACTCAGTACGTTATCCTCTGTTAGGTGATATATCATCTTGTTTTTTGTCAAGGTCTCCAAGATCTTCAAAGCTACGGGGAGTGTGTGTGTGTTGACCTAAAGTCGCCAAATGACGTTGATTGGCCGGATTTGGGGACAGGCGGACTGTGTGATTCCTTCCATTATATGATCTCTGTATATGTGTGTTTAGTGTGCTGTTTATCGGCCCTGTTCAATATTCACACTGACTGAAAACGACCGCATATGTGTTAATCATTCGTGT